TTTGCAGGACTGTATATCCAATCAAGTCTGTATGTACCGCGCAGTTTTGAAAGACCTTTTTCCTGCATGCTCCCTAAGCGATTCGTTCTTTAGCCCACTCTATGCCATAACCCATAATTGCAAGCAGAGGCTCAGTGTTATGTAATTGCTGTGGAGAATCTTAACAACGGAGTTATAAGGGAAGAAATTGTCGTTAGATTCACAGCTCAGATCTGAGCGAGGCGTCCCCAAGTATATTGTTGAGAATGCAGTGAGGGTTGGAAAATCCCAAGCTGGAGATAGCTGGAGACATAGGTGTGAGTCCTCAAGAGGAGAGTCGGTACGGGTATACGCAGTCGTAGCAGGACTACAACCACGCACTTGAAAGTGCCCCTTTTGCCCTGTGATATGAACTGAACCTGCAACACGGTTTCCTTAGATATTTTGAGTAAGAAGTAAAATGCTTGTGCCCGTTTCCTTAACCAAAGCACATCAACACGAAGCGTGAGCTTTCATTGGTACGATCCTCTCTTTGTCGCCACCACACCTCTAGTACGCCTGCCCCACCTCCATTTGAACGGATTGTAAGAACGAAACTTGGCCGTAGCCATGGACATACTGACCTACGCCTCTTTCTCTCGGATTTGTGCAGCTGTACTGCATCATTCAGCTATTAGGTCTGATACATTTCCAATCCCAAGTAAAAGCCATTTGTAAATAGAGACTTCATGCGAAAACTTGTATATTCTGTCCATGCTTCATTTTAAACATCTTCCGCCTTCCAACACATCAAATGATTTTCAGTAATCGGACGACCACCTCAGCCAGTTGTCGATCCTCTCCACCTGACGGTTAATGAGAACGAACCCGCAGCATATCGATGCTGGGTTCCTGGAATTCCTGACTGCCAGATCACCTGGCATAAGGTATGTACCACGTTTATTAGTTCAATGGCTTTGAGCACTTCTGTAGCAAAGATCTTGCTGAAAAAACTGCCCGAGAAATGAGTGCAGATTGAAGCTCTCTACTTTCACGTACCTTTAGGAACGAATCGGTGGCGCGTTGCCTCATGGAGTCTATCAAACGGGTAACGCTCTCAAAGTAAGTGAAACTCTGCATTCAGTGCCCTCATGAACTGAAATAGAAATTGCAATTCTAGATACCGAGAGCCCAACTGCAGGACGCAGGAAACTACATCTGCACAGCAGTGAACGATTTCGGCATTGGACAGTCTCCACCGGCACGGTTGGATGTTATCAGACGTGAGTCCCATCTGGGCAGCAGAATTTTCCCCTGTCTCTTCTGTCCACATTCAGCTTATGTTCACATTTTCAGCCGCCCAACGCCCAAAAGTTGATCCGATGGAGCAGACTGTCACTGAAGGAGAGCCGGCCAGATTCAGATGTTGGGTTCCTGGCAACCCAGATGCTGAGCTGAAATGGCAACGTATTGGACATCAACCTTTACCATCGACAGTGCAGGAACATCAGGGTATTCTCCACATCCCGCGGGCTTCTCAGCATGTGAGTGCCCTCTTCTTTTAGTAACATCATGCGTTCCTCCAAACAATAACTACGATAAGTTGAACCCTGTATCCGTGTTCCAAACGGGCGAAAAATCCTGTGACAACTAGGACAAATTTTCAGACCAAAGTTTCTTTTATTGAACGAGACCCCCCGGCCACGAGGTTACTCCACTAACAACTGAAATACGTGCCAATTTTTCCGAGAACCCCCTTGATTCCATTCTGTTAGAACTACAGCGACTGCGGCGAGAAGTTGTCGTCCAGTGTCTCGCAACCGAGATCTTTCAGATTCTTCATTCGATGCGTTAAATGATCCATTCTTCGATCCACTCCTCCACTCTCTGGAAGTACTAATTTTCGGTACTCGTATGTGTGGTCCATTACATGAAAGCCTGAGCGCTGCGCATAAAGTGGCTGAGCAGTTGATACAGAGTCCGCTCACGACAGCATCGTGTTCGACTTCATGTTTCGTCTGCATTTCTAGCAAGGCCGTCCCGCCGCTGAGTTGATATATTGCAAAAAGAGACCCTTCCCTTCAATACTTCCTTCTCCGGTAGGACCCACTTCTATCACATCTTACCCAACGCATCTTCCTAGATTCCCCAACTTCTACCCGTTTTGTTTCAGAAATTTACGAAAATTCCTCACAAGTCAATTGCCGGCTTCGTGAGGGACGGGACAGGGTGGTGTATGTCGTGCACGAAACGTGGAAATTCGAAAAATACCAACAGCGGAAAAGGCGAACACTTTCTCCAAAGGCAAACACTACTTCGCTTGCCGGCGATTCCCAATTTACAACGCGTCGTGCTTCTTACGCTCATAAGTTGTTTCGCTGACGGAAATGCTGTCTAGGTTCTTCAATTTATGATCTTGACTTTGTTCCAGTTCAGTTTTTTCGGTTTGTTTGTTTTTTTTTTTTGCTAAGTGTGGAAACGAGAATTTTCAACTAGGATTGCGCAACTTTTAGGACATCTAAAAGTAGTTGTGCTCAGATATATACGGTTAAAGAGTCATTCAGATTTCTTTTTTAGGAAGCTGGTCAGTACATTTGCACGGCTACTGATCCGAAAACCAAGACGCCTCAAGATTCGGACCCTGCCACACTCAACGTCCGTCAGCCAGAAGGTTTAATTTAGCTTTATTGGTTCGCAAACATGCATACTTATAAGACGTTTCAGCTCCCAACAGCGCCACAAGTAGACCCTCAGGAGCAGACCGTCAACGAAGGAGATCCAGCACAGTTCCGCTGCTGGGTGCCCGGAAATCCGCAGGCCGTAATCCGATGGAGCAAGAAAAGTGGAGAACGTGCGAATTTCTTTCATATGTGGTATCGTGTTTTCCGCAAGATCCTTCAATATTTAGCTTTCCCCGCGGGAACGCTCGATCGAGATGGTTTCCTTCGCATTACGAGCGCGAAAATGTCTGACGCGGGTGACTACATCTGCACAGCTACTGACCCACGAGGAGGACCTCCTGCTGAGGCACCACCAGCACGTCTCAATGTCAATCCACGTATGTTCTACCCTTTTGATGGATTCGGTGGACTTTTCTCGGGATCAAGTTCTTTACGAGTAAATCTTCAATAGTGCTTGGTAAAGTTTGTACAAAATTAGTCTAATTGTGAGAAGGAAATCTGAACCTGGGACAGCGACCCTCTGCTTATTCCATTTATTCGTTCGTTGATTGCCAGTAAACTTGCATAATTCTGGCACACTATTTTCGTGTCGTATGGGCGGAGTCAGGGCCCTACTTCTTGCTTCCTCATTGGTTCCCCTATGACAAAGAGAAGGGGCTAGAAGGCAAAAGGCACGTTAAATTCACGATGGGATAAATACGCCTAGCAGGGTGGAATTCGCGCTCCTGAACCAGTGGTGCGAGGCACGTTTTCCAGCGAAGGCACCTCTACTATGGTACTTTATTATGCTGCAACATGCGCGAAATCGCGGACAACCTACGACAATCTGCCCATCCATAATGTCGATTGTTGGCACGGTGCCAACGGGAAACTCGTCTAAAAATGATAGTGCAATGCCCAACAGAACAAAGGTTTTTCACTGGGTTTTTGCTGTTCAACTTCGCTTTTTCGTCATTTCCCCACTTCGTAGACCCGTGACCACTATTTTTGAGCAAGTGCTAAATTATCGTGACTTATGCCTTTGAGTCAGCCCGGAGTCACGTAGGGTAAAAACATATATTCAGCGCCTTCAGACCGGTCCAGCAAGGACTAAGGTTTTGAAATTAGCCCCCGTTGGGCGATAAGTGATTGAGCTGCTCGCATCTACAGAAAGTGGGGCTATCCAATGCTGTTGTTGTTGCATAATAGAAAAGCCGCTATAAACTTTGAAAATGAATGGCTCCACTCTATTTTTGTAAGGTCAGGTAAGTTTTCTAACGATCGATGAAGTGGGTTAAGTACAAGCAACTGCTGCAGTCTGTCTTAGAGTGGGCACCGATTACCACTCAATGGAACTTACAGGTCACCTTGTGAGGACCTATAAATTCTTCTCACTAAATTAGCTCGATTTTACTCATTCGCAGCTTTACAAGTAGCTCACAGGCCTCACAAAAGTGGAATTCGGGAGTTAACAAGAATTAGCAAAAGGAACTAGCGAAAAAGCCGCTACCCCTCTGAGCCGAACAGCGCCATTACTGGACATCTTAATGAACCTTGACTTTTTGAGAGTATTTTCACGTGCATTATGATACTGTCAATTTAATTGCAGTACCATTCCAACCACAAGTAGAACCACCGGAGCGCACCGTCCAGGAAGGAGATCCGGCTCAATTCCGTTGTTGGGTACCCGGATACCCACACGCTGTTATCCAGTGGAGCAGGCAACGTGGAGAGCGTGGGGCTTTTCTCTAGCCATCATTCTGCTCTAGTGTTCTTTGTGAATGGCGAAGACATTTTAGCACTTCCTCCGGGGGCAACACCCAGAGACGGCTACCTTCGTTTTGACAGGACCAGAATGTCTGACGATGGAATTTATATCTGTACAGCATCTGATCCATTAGATCCCAGACGAGGACCACCTCGTGAAGGCTCCTCCTGCACGACTTCGTGTGACACCGCGTAGGTTTCTCTTCCTGACTAGGAAAGATGACTTACCTGCACTTATCACTTCCACTTTCATTTCGATATTGTCGAATGATTGCAGCTTCTTTTGCACCACAAGTAGATCCTCCTGAACAGACCGTTAATGAAGGGGATCCAGCTCAGTTCCGCTGCACAGTGCCGGGAAATCCGCACGCCATTATTCAGTGGAGCAAGCAAACTGGAGAGCGTGAGGCTTTTCTCTGACCGTGCTCAAACTCTTTATCCTTTTCGTGGATGAGTGGAACGTTCAGCGTTTCCCCCTGGCACGATGATAAGAGACGGCTATATTCGCATCAACAATGCTAGATCGTCAGACGCTGGAGCATATATTTGCACGGCTACTGATCCCAGAGGAGGACCACCCAAACAGGCTCCACCAGCACGGCTTCATGTTAGGAAGCGTATGTTCCACAGAGCTCTAGCTTCAGGCTGCTTCATCTAATGCTTGTTAGTCTCACAATTAGATGCTTCTCTTCAAGCTAATTGTTGAGCTTCGTAGTATGGCTTTCAGGACTAGAGATGCATAGAGCTAGACTAAGCCGAACCAAATTCTAGGCGCATAAGTCGCCTGAGTCCGAATCAGGATGCAGCGTCGTTGGGAGAGTCTCGTGACGGGGTACTGGGCACTTAGCCGCTGGGAAGAGGTGGCTGATCGCTCGACGACAGTCTTCCGAGCAGAGAACTGGAAAAAATCGGAGAAAAGCGGAGTTGGGAATATTCAGGCATCTCTGAGATGTGGTAGGCGTGGCTGCACTGCAAGTACCCCTGGCGGTGGCTGTGCTTTTTGAGAGATATTTTCATTTTGGCACAAATGTGGTCCTGTCTCCTCCAACACAGAACAAGATGGCAGTTGTCTTGA